AAAACCAAATTCTTAGGCTTTACATATTAGTATACACATTGCGTTTAGATTGCGGTTGGTTGTATTTTTTCTCAGAAATGAGATATTTTCCCGCGGTAAAAAGTATCCTATATGTTGACCCGGATAACCAGCTATCACCATACGAATTTTATCAAAATCCCTCCAGTGGCTTTTCTGTGATGCGGCAACAGACAGACAGAAAGACAAAAATTCTAAAAACTATAGATTCGGCCTCTGTATCGATAATAATGTTTATTTCAATAAGATTTTCCAAAAAATATTTAATGTACAGATTCGGCTTAGTTACAATTTTATTATTATATTATAGATAAGACCAATCTTTTAAACATATTTTTATTGTTTTTTTTTAGCCACAGACTAAACATACTTAGTAAAATGGTTGTCATAAAACATTAAGAAAAAACATAATTATACCTAACCTACTTTAAGTTTCGACCAGCATTTTCTTTAAAGCAATTACTTATACATAAACTCGAATAGCATACCATCTAAGTATTAAATGATCGCGTCCTAAAAAGAACAAAATATTCAACACAAAGTATGCAAAAGTTGATTGGGCTTTGTTTTATTTTCATGATATTGTATTACACAATAGCCATTCATCAGAAGCTGGGACCGTAAATCGCAAATTAGGAACATTGTAAACTTTTACTGACTTCTAACGACCTCAGGTAAAGCTCATATTTCTTAAGGAAATACAATAGATGAAAAAGGTTTTTACTTTCGGAGATTTCTTTAAGCATTATTTATGACGTTTCAATTTTATCTTGGTCTAGTTACCTAGTTTTCGTTGAGGATAGCTATTCACCGTGCCAGTACTTGTACCAGTTTACAAAATCTATGAAACAAACATAAAACAATATCAGTTTTTTTTAAATTAATTAGACTCCACTTAAATACACACAGTGATAATAATATTAAAATTACAAGATAACAGATGCATTTAGTATAGATAAAGAAAAAGCACAAAACTCTACTCATATTGAAAGAGATTGATAAAAAAAATCGCAATTGTCTAGTACGTGCAAAAACAATGAAATTTGAAAATGTTCACACGGCGGGTGGCGGGTAGCGACAAACGCGATGAAATTACGAATGCGACCCATTGTGACGTTTGTAAAGAAAGTCGGAACGAATTGTAAAATCGGATCAGAGCCTCGAGTGACGCCCATCGAATACGTCGAAACAATCGATATCCCGTGTGGTTATTGAATGCCGACCATCCCGATTGTGTCGTCACAAAGGATTCAAACATTCCATAGGGCTTAATAAATCCTACATTTAAAAGAAGCGACCTTTGTTTATTATTCCCATACCATAAATCAATTGTGCAATGGGAGTCGAGAAGAGAAAAGATAATTTAACAGCACGCCTGACCGTCAAACAGCTGTTGGACTGACCATATGATCTATCAGACTTACAGACCAACAAAAAGATAACGTATAGAAATTTAGCACTATATTGTAACACAAATAAATATTTAAGTATTTTACTTGCTACTTTCTAGCAAAAAAAGCCTGAAAAGTTAACATAACACTTTTATACCCGTATATATTTACATACGAGCTATTAAATCTCGCCCAAGATGCGTGAGCAACAGTATTGTTCAGCAAAGCATTATGCTGCCAATGACAGATAAGAGCTCTGTAATGAGCACAGCGACCTACAATGGAGTGTAAGAGCGCCCCATGCGCAACGTCGCCACTAATTTAAATAAAACGATAATACGACTAACAATGTCTATTACTAAATGCGATCCACACATATTATCATTTAAACAATGAAGATGGAAGTAATCAAGCCCCGATTTGATTTCCCAAACAACTGGACAAAATAAACCCACGCGAATATAGTGGGAGGATAATCTGTTCAAATTAGAGAGTTCCTGTTGCTGGGAAATTGTCGGTTAAGTGTTTGTGGGAATGCAGTTTCTCCTCGTATATGATGATACAAAGTTTTAAAATCGAATCGGCAAATAAAGTCGCCAACATAGCAAAGTCCGTACATCTTGAGCAAAAAACTGAACTTGGTGATAATCAATTACAATTTATAAGCGTGAACGATAAAAAAATATATTATTAATATGATATTATAAAAACTTACTAAGGCATTATTGTATATCAATACTGCTTTCAATGTTTTAGCGCAAATATGTAGAAACAATATAAAGAGGAAAAGAAGATAAAAATCTGAAACAAATTGTAAACATAACATAAAAGACGTCCATATATCCACACGCAATTAACCTAAATTGACTATTTTTAGATCATAAATGCTATCATAAAAATTATAAAGTAATAAAAAATTACTTTATATAATCAATATTATATACGGTTAGAGCATTACCTCTCGTCACTTACACCAGTGCTTGCGTGAGCACAGCTGCCCGACTGGTTTGTCCACTTGTGCCGGATTGATTTAACGTAAACGCACGCTCAACCTCTTTCCTCTCTATACAGTCCTGATACTTCATTATCGATTTATAATCTTTAATATCATCAATTAAATTTATTATGTCTTTGAAACAAGAAATAGTTTCTACAGATTTGTGTTTAAATTTGCATTTTTATCTAATGTACAGATCGATAGGACTCTTGTGATCCTACAAATAAGTCATACATGTTTTATGGATGAGAGTAATATTAAAATACCAATAGATAAGATATAATATAATCTACAATGAATATTTAATTATGCAGATATTTCAGTTATTTGTTAAATAAGCCTTTGGCTTTTGATATGATATGGAGGCGCAATGATTGCGTTTTTACGAGTTATAATAGATACAATTTTAGAATTTTATTTAGTAACATATGACATTGCTGTATATAAAAACGATATTTGACGTACGTTAAACATTTTCGTTTAAATTATAAAACACGCCAAATAGTGAATGATAAAGCAAAAAGTACAAGGGGTTATGTTAAAATTTGAATAAATTTGAATGGCAAAAATAGCAAAAACGATATAATTTGCAGAATTATTTTCTGTTTATGTGAAAATCATGTTGTAACCATCAGATAAAAGTTTAAACATATGTACATAACACATACTCAATTCATTCGTTTTAATTTTTTTGTCTTATACCTAAAGCAGCTCTACTAAAGTTTGCTCTATCTTAATATGTATATGTACGCTCTATCTTATAATGTATATCTATACTATAACAAAACTGTAGAGGTCGAATGTCTGTACATAGAAAAAAAAATGCTAAAAACCGAGCCAGGGGGATGTAAGAAGACAAATAGAAGTAATCTAGATTTTTTTCTAATTTTTTGTTTCTCTGTCTGTTTGTCTGTTTGTACGGGCTAATCTCGGATCTCGGATGTAGGATGTATTGGGCCGATTTAAATGAAATTTTGCATGGTGGTACCGTATATCCCTGGGCAACATCTTAGATACTTTTCATCCCTGAAAATTAAAGAATTCGCGTGGAATAGTTAAAAAACTATAATAACTTATACAGCTTAGTACACAACAACTTATGCAAATAATTTAGTAAAATTTGGCATGCTGATATATTGCCGATCTAACAACAAGTTACTTTTCATCGCGGAAAAATGAACGGTTCCCGCGGGATAGATCTGCCTGTGATTTTCTAGAGGCGAACCCGAGCGAAGCGAGGGTGAGCCGTTTGTATATAATAAAATTGTACCTAAGCCCGAACTGTACATTAAATATTTTTTTGAAAATCTTATTGAATAGACATTATTACATTATTTTTTTTTCAAAATGTGTAATTTTTTCCAACTTAAAAGATAGGATAGGTTTTATCGCAAAATTAAAGATTTTTATATGTGTGCTACAGCAACTCGTGGCCGGGTCTGCTAGTACAATATAAAACAAAGTAATTATCTAGTGTTTGTAAGCTATAGGGGAGTATTAACACAATATAGACCATTCATAAATGGACTACTATACAGACAAATGTATTTATTCATGAAAAAAAGAAATACTAAAACAGGAAAAATAAACCTCTGTAACAAATTAAATAAGCCAGTGAAAAAGTGTTATTTCCGAACAAACAAGTAGTTCTATAGAATCAACACACTGTGTTTCCCACAATATTCTTGCTTCTATGCAAAACTGAGAGTTATAACTCATTTTAATTTCATAGATATTATTCTTTAGTCACTTTAATCTGCTCTTTATGGAATGAAATTTTTAATGAAAAATTAAAAAGAAAATTCTAAGTTATGGCATATTTAGTGTTAATTTTTTAAATAAATTTCTATTGTTCATTTTCAATTACTGTGAATTTTTTTTTTAATTGTGTAAGAACATTTGAATATTATAATACTTTTATAAAACAAAAAACTTTAATATTACATTTTTTTTAATTATTAAGCAAAGTAAGCCTTTACTTTTGGACTATTTTTATTTTGTTTAGTTAAAAACTTATTTAGAAGTAATAGAAAATTTAAAGATTTGAAATTAAAACATTATGTCTAGACATTTTTAATTCTAATCTAAATTATCTGTTAAAATTCAAATATTTTATTATTTTCAATTCAAATACAAAAAGCTATCAGAGCTCTTTTATAAATATTTTGTTAGTGACTGTATTTTAATATAACATAGAATAGATGTTTAGATAAGACATATTTAAAACAAAATTATTCTTTCTTTCAAGTTCTTGAATATTTAACATTTGTAGTCTATTATCAAAGAATTAATTCCTGAACTAGTATAAGTCAATTAGTATGAAACATTGGAGAGTTTGTTATTTTCCAATATCATTACGATATAACTTATATTAAAAGTGCCAGGTTGTATAAATTATCTCAAAAAGATGTAAGATTAAAGTGAAGCACTTAATAACTTGTATTCTTATAGGCCATAACAGATTCCATTTAAAAAAAATAGTACATAATGATTTATACAAATAAATATAATAATAAAAAAATGTTTTAATAAAAAAGTTAAAAAATACAGTTACATTATATATATAAATGAATAGAAAATAAAATTATACATACCTAATGTAGAGTACAGAAGACCCGTTCACTATTCTTCTCCAGCCGAGTGGCACAGTTATAGTTTGTGGAAATTCACTTTGCACTCTTAAGTCAGAAGTCTCGTGCGGCAAAACTGATGATGGCAGGACTGCCAACACCACACCATCAGCTGTCCTAACAAGCTGAGGCGCTTCACCCTCACTAACTATTGATCTACTCACACCAATCTGCTGATTAAGTATATTTATACTTTGATTCACAATTGACTGATGAGACACACTCTGTTCTAACAATTGGTAGTTCACAAATTTCCCCACCGAAACCGAATCATTGGTTCCATCATCACTTTGCACTGCACTATCAAACTGGCTCTGATTGTGCACTGGTAACATTGGCATGTTATCTGGAGGGCATCTCGCTTGATACCCCAACTCTGACTGCAACGGTAACCTAACATAGGAATCTATGTTACTCCACTCAGGGTTTTCAGAGTCCCTCTTGGTCACTTGCCTATCGTTTTTGTTGTCTTCACTCCTTAAGCTGTCTTTCGCAAAAGGCTGTTGGAAGTACTCCTCTCGATTGTCGGTTTCAGAGTCGAAAGGCTTGTAGTAAACAGTAGGGGTGCTCCGTTCGTGTTCGATCTGTCTGTAGAGTTGGTTGTTGAGTTGCACATTGTCGTAGAGGGTGTCAAGCGGATGGGAGTGCGGCGGGTCGGGGCCCGCGGCGGCCGGCTCTAGCTGGCGTGCCTCCGCCACGTACACCAGCACGCGCGGCGCGCCGGCCACGCCCGCTCGCGGCGCGGCCACACTCGCCGGCTTCGACATCTCGTACACACATTACACGCCACATAAGCCTGCTCACCTGAACGCTGCAGGCTCTGCCGATCTAGCAGACGAAACGCGATCCCACCTCGCATCGCTTTCCGCTCGATCATCGCTCGATGCTCTCGCTGTACAGAACCCTTGCACCATCCTCGGTTCGCTTTTTATGTATCGATGTCATCAATCCTTTTCACTTAATTGTTTTATGGCGGGCACAACAAATAGGGCCTAATAGTTTTATGGCGGAGCCTTTTTCGGCCTCATTGTATAGCAGAATTGGTCATAAAATGTTTAAAAACCACTTTACACTACTGTATTTTAATATCTTAGTATAGAATCCATATTGACACTTCAGAATGTAAAAAGGTCACAGTATGAAAAATATCTTCTTCATCTTCAAAGTGAGACAAGTTTCACCAACTTTGTAATATTCCTTTTGTCTGACGATTTTACAACTATAGCTTAAATTATTGTTTTTCATGAACACTACAAACACAAAAAAATATCTCGCATTCGCAATGCGATGCCATCAAAGTGAAACACTATGAAGAACAACGAATGAAATCACCCTGACTATGTTATACGACTAACAGATAAAGGTAGTTAAAACTATTTCTTTTGAGTGTTCCTCTATAAGCTTTACGATCAGTTGGGTTATAATAAAGTTATGGCTACCTCGTACAAATAAAAGGACCAATAAAATTCTCTAAATATTGTTGCTGTCGTGTATGTGATTGGTTAAATTTACTGTTTCAAGTTTAAGTACTGGCTGTAGTGAAACTAGCAGAAGAGTAAAAGAGATAAAAAACAAAAAAGTGTATTGCGTTGTCTGACGGCAACAATGCGAACTAAAATGCATAATGCACTGCTTTATCGACTCATTTAAGCCTTAGGCTACAAATGTTGCAATTTTTGGGTGCTGTACTGATTGCTCGTTACATTATAAATGTAATAAGAAAAGTAAAGTATGTATTTTAAATAATTAAAATAATTGAAATAAATAATTTAAATTTAAAATAATTCAATAAAAATAATAAAGTATTAAATTAAATAAGACCGTTAATAATAATTTTATAATTTTTATAGTTATTTCTTGAACTCCAAGTTAAGTGAACAGTAATAAGTTTTTCTTTTTTATAAATGGTTTTTTTTGTAAATGGTAAAAAAAATATAATTGTGATTTTTTAAAAGTAGTTTGCTTGTAGATTGTTCAAGATAATGGTTAAGATTTTTCGAAAAGAGGTCGCCACACGTATCGCCTATTTACATTCATTCTGAGGCTAAGATAAAAATAAGAAATATATTATTTGTTTTTTTTTTTCGAAATTCATCCTTTAAACTTTGTATGGGCAAACAATTATTTATGATCAGAATCACTTGAGACTTGGTATTAATGCTCTTCAATACAATTAAATAAATAGGTACATTTTAGCATTTTTCGAAATTTAATTCCATAAGGGGGTAAAATGGAAGATGAAAGTTTGTATGAAATTCAGTAATTAATATGTAAAAAAGTACAAAAAAATTCATCCTTAGACGATTTAGGAGTTTTAAAATTACTTTTTTTAAAATGATGTCCATATAGCCTTAAATATGAAAACTGATTTCGCCAATTTTAGTTTTAATATTACTTTATACTTTTAGCGCACAATTTCTTCAGTTTTTATCTTTTGGGAACAAATGATATCCATTTTCTTTGCATCCTGGTACTGTACAATTTGTCATTATAATTAAATTTTAAATAGTATGTAAAATACATTACAATATACTGAGAACTAGTGATCGCTACATCTGGCGGGAGAAAAAGGCAAAATTCTTCCCCATTGATATACCCCTGACTTGAGTTTACAATATTCATAACTGCTAACTGGTAACATTTTTAAGTTATATCAGTGGATGTCAATTGTCAATGACAATTGAACAAACACGATAAATTTTAAAGATGTTGAGGACTGAGGTTATAAAAGTATAATACTTTATGACTTATGTATTGTGATTATTAACAATTGGACAACATAAATATTTATGTAAAAAAATTGAATACGTTTGAACTCGTTTATTTAGTATAAATATGAAGCGAAAAATTTCAAAACTGGATGAGGAAGAGGAGAGGTAAGTAATTTTGCCAAATCAATATTGTTTCTTCAAAACATGGATTATAAAAATATATTAATTTGCATGTTCTCCATTATTTCTAGACAATTTCACTAAAAAAAAATTATTTGTTATAGGTTGTCGTCGTTGTTATTTAATAAATCCAAAAAATTCACTGAAAATATATCGTCTTCATTAAAAAAAGAAACAGATCTAGATTTAAAGCCAGCTTGGATTGATGAAGATGACGATAAATTTACTTCAGAAATTATTCCAGATATAAAGAGCAAAGAACTGTATGTACATAAACTAAAACAAAAATTTGAAACACTGATTGGAACTCCCGGATGGGCTAAAGTATCAAATAAATCTGAAGATAATGATGAAATATTGAGAACAGTAGGCCATTTGCAAAAACCGAAATTATCAGGCCTTAAAAATAATGTTTTAGAAATAAAACCATTTCCTAAAGTTAATGCTGAAACTGGAAATGAAGGTCCTATCATAAGTTCTGTAATATTTCACCCTAAAATGAGCGTAGCACTTGTAGCTGGACAATCTGGTATAGTGTCACTATTTTCTATTGGTGGTGATGTTAATGACAAACTTCATAGCTTTAAGCTAAAGAAGTGGAAAGTGTCAACTGCTCAATTTACTCCTGATGGATCTGAAGCTTACATTGCTTCAAAATTTAATCATAGTTATTGTGTTTATAACCTTGGTAAAGCTGAACCTACATTAATTCAACTACCAAAAGTTGTCAAGAGACCTATAATTTTCCAAATATCATTCGACGGTAATTTCTTAGCTGCCAGTGATGGTTTAGATGAAGTTTTTATAATTTGTGCAAAATCAAAAGAACTGCTAAGGTCACTGAAACATAATACAAATGTTATATCTGTTACATTTAGTCATAATTCTGAGCAATTGTATTGTTACGGAGCTCAAGGGGAAATTACTATATGGGACCTTTCAATGTACAGATCCGTTAAGAAGTTTTATGATAATGGTTGTGTGACTGCATCATGTATTTCTACAAGCAAATGTGGAAAGCTTTTAGCTACTGGCAGTGGAGAGGGTATTGTCAATATATATGAGACAAAAAATTTAACTACAACAGGACCTTTTCCATTAAAAACAATATCAAATTTAACAACTAAAATTACTTATCTAAGCTTTAATTCTAGTTCAGAAATATTATCACTTTCATCGTCATTCTATCCCAATGCAGTGAAACTCGTCCACATACCATCATATCATGTGTTTAGTAACTTTCCGAAGCAAAACTTGTACCAAGTAGAAACTGTAAGTTTTTCACCAAACAGTGGTTATATGGCCCTTGGCAATAACAAGGGCTGTGCCTATTTGTACAGATTGAAACATTACAAAAATTATTAAATTTCATATAACTGTTAAGTATGTTACAATAAAAATATTTAAAACATATTTTAGTTTTATTATATTGCAGAGTAAGCACCACATTTCCATCAAATAGTTTTTATCAACGAATTATTAACAAATAATATTGATGAAAAGGATTGATCAAAGGATTAAGTATATATTGACCAGCATTGCCCGCGGCTCTGCCCGCATTCTGATGATCAGAAACCAAATTCTTGGTTTTACATATTAGTATCCTCTACATTGCAGTTTTTGTATTTTTTCTCAGAAATGAGATATTTTCCCGCGGTAAAAAGTATATATGTTGACCCGGATAACCAGCTATCACCATACCAAATTTCATCAAATTCTCTCAGTGGTTTTTCTGTGATGCGGTAACAGACAGACAAAAATTCTAAAAACTATAGATTCGGCCCGTGTATCGATAATAATGTCTTTTCAATAAGAATAAAAATTTCAATAAGACTTTCCAAAAAATATTTAATGTACAGATTTGGCTTAGTTACAATTTTATTATATGTATGGATGAAAAGGTCCTTAAATGTTATATTTTTGTATAAGTACATATTCTAATACTGTACATTTAGAAATAAACATTACCAAAATTCTAGGTAGGTACAATTAATTACTCTGTAGTAACTAATAGCTAGTCAAACGTGAAATTAAAAATTTAAAAAACCTCCAACACAATAACATATTCATTGAGGCCATTTCAATCAGCCTTAAACACGATATCTATGCAGAATTTTAGTAGCGTTGGCCGTTGAGTATCTTGTAGATTCCAGGTTGACCCCGCAGCTTACCATATCGTTGCAATGTCATTGAAGTAACGGCATGCCAAATTTCGAATGGATTAGATCTGTACAAGTTGCTCATATCCTTTTACCGCCTAGAAAAGAGCTCATAGCCTGCAAACAACTGAACGGATTTTCTTGATTTATAGCTAAGAATACTCGAAACAGACAACAATCAATACTAAATTTAAGTCTGTTTATTCGTTTGCGCGTTACGATGCCACAGACAGACACAGATACACAAAACTATTGACACTCCTCTTTTGCCTTAGGGGTTGATAAAATCAGTATTTTCTTATTTGCGTATTAATGCCGTTCAGTTTTATAGACCAGCGCCATCTATACGTAAATTAATGCAGTAAGAACAGTATCAATAATGACCGATAGGTGGCCCGAATCAGAATATTTATTTAAAAAATTCGACGATAGATGTCGCTAAAACTTAAATTTCATATTTTATCAAATATTATTTATTAACTAATTAGTTTACTTAATACTTTCTTAGATTTACGCGAATGTTTGACATTTTAAAATAAAACTATCTTTTCGGATTATTGCGCGGATTTATTTTGATTTTTGGTTCCCGACGTTTCGAATGCTTTACAGCATCCATAGCCACGGGAGAGACTGAGGTGTTACATGTCTTGAAGGTATAGTTGTTACAAACATATAGGCTATATATTAACCCGAAAAATGAAAAGACTATTTCATGGTAGTCGTATTTGCAAAATAAGTCGGAGAAAAAACGGTCGAACGAAAACGTTTCTTACGAACGCTGCCTTATCGATGAGAGATATATGATTATGTTCTAGAGAAAAGTTGTAGAGCTTAATAATGCCTACAAAAAAGTCAGCGACAGCATATGTCGAACTTTTATATTCAAGTCACAAAAAGTAGTTTTTTATATTAAAAAAATAATTTTAATCGGTAGGTCATGTTCATTGGTCATATTATCAACAATTATGAATTCTTATCAAAATAAGTAAATTTATCGTCTAAAATGTTTAAAACAAAAGACTTTTCCCTTTTACTGCATATAATTTGGACAAATGGTTAAAGAGATAATACAACATATTCGTAGGTATGGACGAACCCGAGCGAGCTGTTTGTCTGTTTTCCTGTTTGTACGGGCTAATCTCCGAATCTATTGGACCGATTTAAATGAAACTTTGCATGGTGGTACCTTATATCCCCGGGCAACATCTTAGATACTTTTCATCCCGGAAAATTTAAGAGTTCCCGTGGGATAGTTAAAAAACTATAACAACTTATACAGCTTAGTACACAACAACTTATGCACCTAATTTAGTAAAATTTGGCATGCTGATACCTTATATTGCCAGTCAAACAACAGATTACTTTTCATCCCGGAAAAATGAACGGATCCCTTGAGATAGATCTGTTTGTGCTTTCCTAGAGGCGATCCTGAGCGAAGCGAGTGTGAGGCGCTATTACGTAATAAAAAGAAGGACTTTTTTGTTTCTAATAATTCTATACCTTAATTAAAAAAATATATATTAGGCATGTACACAAAAAAAAACAACTAAACAAAATTAAAATAGTTGGTTGAACAGCTAAATAAAATAAAATAAATGGTTTTTAACTAATAGGAAATAAATTAATTACATTCATAATCCTAAAATAGATTACAAATGAACCGGATAGACAAACTGACAGCGACAACTGATTGAAAATTGTCCGTCAATTTATTTCATAAACTTTGTCCTTTAGCCTATTTCGTGTTATTTTTATTGTATTTAATAATAACAATTCCGTTTCTTTCTGTAACTAATAGAAATTAAAAACTTTATGAAAAATAAATTCCATGTACGTATTTTTTTGTTTAAAATTAAATATAATATTTATAGAACCTACTCAAAAATTTGAAATAAATAAGCAAAAGCCATACTTCCTCTCTGGTTATTCCGATACCGGGAATCGAACCCGAGCCTCCTGGGTGAGAGCCAGGTATCCTAGCCACTAGACCATATCGGACGTACTGTATTTGACTAAAGTAAGCTTTTATATGTAAAATATTATCTTGTTTTGTTGATAATGCCATCCTATATTTAAAATAAAGGAACAGGTTCTACCTATAAATAATTTTCTTCGCCTGTATGTATTTTTATTTGTTCACCCATTTCTCGGGGGACGCTGAACGAACGGCTTTTCTACTTTAAATTGTACTTTTAATTGTGTACTATAAAGATATAAAATTTTCGACGATATGGAGTATATAGAATTTGAGAAAATAAAAAAAAAATCAAGTACAAAAATAAATGTAGTAATACATTTTTAATCCCCGACGCAAAAAGAGGGATGTTTTTGATGGTCGATGTCTGTCTGTCTGTGGCATCGTAGCTCTAAAACGGATGGACCGATTTCGATGCGGTTTCATTTAAAAGCCACTTTCCTTGCGGTGGTTCCTCGCTATGTTTGGTTAATACCGGTCCAGCAATGTAAGAGTATCAGCTCTTTTCCAAAATGATGTAAGGCATTTAGGCGTATGATTACTCGATTAAGTGCTTCAATATTAATTAATTAAATAACAATTAAGTTGCGTAGGGGATTTTTTAAGTTTTTTATTTATAATTTGTCTACTTCTAATCGTGAGTTCTGACATTTATTTGCACTGGTTGGAATTATTTAAACTAAAAAACAAATCTGTTTTAAATATTGTGTATATTATAATATATTATTTTAATTGCGTTTGTATAATTTTATGTATATACTAGCCGAACCCGCGGCTTCGCCTGCGTTGAATCTACAAAATAAACTCTTTGGCTCTATGTTATATGTATGACTAATAATAAAGTTAATTTTATAGCTGTCAAGACTTTAAAATGAGTCAGTATTATATTGGTTCTGTACCACCGAATATGTTTTGCTTTACTAACAAACATACACTAAAATAAAAATAAAGAAAGAATTGATAAGATTACTAATTAATAAAGGTTTCTAAAAAAATGTTGTAATTATAATTATAACAGACAAAAATTAATTACAATTATAGTAGTGGGAAACTAGCTAGGGACGAACCCGAGCGAATAGAGGGTGAGTTTCTATTAGATAATGTAGATGGAGATACTAGTCTCCAGCCAGAGGGCGGTAGACTTGGGGAAGTCTGCCGCCTAATCACCTGGCCCGAGTAGGCGCGTGCGGTGTCCCCCGCGCGCTACTCCAAACGGTGGTCGTCGAGGGTGCTGCTCCCACCCTCCGACACCGAGACGTGCCGTAGGGCAATCGCCGTCGGGGTTCGCGGATGATTTTGGTTCCCGTGGCCCCGACCTGGAGGCGACAGAGGTGGACACCGTCAGGTTTTAGTGGGTAGGCTGCCGCGAGTTTACCATCGTTGCGCGGTGGGAGCCCCACATAACCCGTCGTTCTTCCCCAGGCGGCGGGTACCCGGCAACAGGGTTTCCTGACGAAAAAAAAAAGATGGAGAAAGTCTATTATTTATTATAAGTAACAGATAAAATTTTACTATAAATATTTGAATTAGAATATTATAAGAACTGTAAAATCTTACTAGCTTCCGGTCCTACTTGCTGTGAATAAATAATTAACATAGATAACATTATACTACTCTAGCATCATTATTAGAGATCTGTAATTCAAAAGAAAAAAAAATGAGTAAATTAAATAAATAAAAAGTAGAAATAAGTATTATTTTTATATACTGTTAAAAGCAAATGTAATAATATTATTATGTTTATAGTATTTAAATAACACAGTTAATAAGATGTTTTTGGAAAATAGAAATATATTAACTGAAATAAGTAAATATTATAATATTAAGGTGTTCCCAGAGCACAGTATAATATTTGCAAGCTTTTCTTTTTTATTTGTTACAATAATAAAACTCTATAACTATTCGTGATTGCCTATTTTTTTATTTGATTTTTTTTTAATATTTTTATAATTAAACAAATATGTCTACCAACTTTAAATACTCATGATAATTGAAGATAGAGAGTAAGAAGTATATATTATATAATTAACATTGAAACCAGAAATAAATATACCGTCTAAAGCTTATTTAAAAACAAAAAATTCAGAACACTTAATATATTACAGTTATATTTGGATAGGTACTTATTATTCTTAATGAAATGTTAACAAGATGGACTCGTCAATAAAATAAGCGTATACGTCTAGGAAGTAAGTTCACGGCTGCCTTGTTAAATAGAGTCGTATTTA